TTCAATTCTTCATGCATTCTTGGGTCCAAGTCCTTTATTGGATGCAGCTTTTCAAGCCTGCTATGCCTTTTCAGTTTCTTGATGATGTCCTTTAGTATATATAAAAGCTCTAAGCCTGGAAGAAATCCAGTGCACCTATTTTTTGCTCTTTTTCATACACTTGGTGCCATCTAAGAATGCGCTGCCAAATTCAAGGTCATGAAGGCTACTCACTGCTTCCTTCTTAGATGTTTGTAGCCTGAAATATTTTTTATGAAGTTAGCACAACACGACAGGCTGGGGAAAGCAAGCAGGGACCTGGAAAAAATGACTTTGCAGGTGAAGGGGCTTGCCCCCAAACCCGACTGCCTGGGCCTCACGTGGTGTAAGAGCCCCAGTCCTGGCAATGGTTCTGCGTGCGTGCATGTGTGTGTGCGTGCTCACTTACACACAGGCATGCAAACACGTACACACAAAAACATGCACACACGTGTGCCCACACACATACACACAGAGTAAATAAGGAAAAAAGATTGTTTTTTGAAAGAAGAGTAAAAAGGAATGCAATTAATTTATGTACTGATGTTCTCTAGAGATCATCTGACACAAAACCTTTCTGTCTTCAGTAGTGTATAATTAGAAGTTGGCCCTGGATTCTGCTTCCCAGACATCACGTTGCTCTGTTAGCAGCTAATTGACAGAAACGATTAACGGATGATCTAAGCGAGAGAGAAAAGCAGAATAATAAGGCCAGCATAGGGCTTGGAAGGCAGGCAGGTGGTGCAGTGACAAGGGCCCAAGTTTCTCAGATGAAGGCTTGGAGCACACACCAGCCTTCGCTGTGTCTGAGAATATTGACCATGCTTTCCATACAGTTTAGATCTCAAATGTGCTGAAGGCTTGGTGCCCAGGTAACACTATAAGGTTACTATAGAACCTACAGGGGGAGGCACCCAGTGGGAGCTTGTTAAGCCATTGTACATGCACCTCACTGGGGATGGTGGGGCTGTGGTCACCACCGCCATCTTTACTTTGCTTCCGGTCTAAGAGGTGACCGGTTTTTGCTTTTGCTCTGTCAAATGCTCCAAGCAGGAAGTGCCATTTCACCACAGACCCACCAAGAGTGGCGCCAACTGATAAGGGCTGGGGATGTCTGAAATGAGCCAACATAAGCCCTTGCTCTCCATAAGTTCATACATCAGACAGTTGTATAGGAACGGAAGACTAATACACTACCACACGAATGGGTTCAGCTTCTTACTCCGTTTAAGTCACAGGCAGAGTCTTCACTAGTAAGAAGTCAGGTAAAACTCACAGAGATCTGCCTGCCTCTGCCTCCCTAGTGCTGGGGTTAAAGGCGTGCACCACCAACGCCCGGCCCTGAAGGTTTTTTCTTAAGGCTTGAAAGGATTGTATTAAGCAGATGATGTTTGTATGAGAATGCAATGAGGATGATCAAAGCATCATCCAAAGACTAAAATGTAATAACTACCGAACTTGTTGCTCATAATAACGGGTGTGGCAGCATTTCTGTAATGTGTTATCATCTGACTTGCTGTACTCAGCCATCACACTCAGTTTCTAGTCTTCTGCTGTGTCAGAACAGTCACAAATGCTTGTCACCTGACATTGCAAGCTACCAGCTTCTCTCAGAAAAGTGCTTAGTGTGGCAGCTTCTACCGTTTTTCCCCCCAGCTTCCCTCTTCATTCAAGTGTTTGGAGTCAGCATTTGCCTATAAATTACTCCCTCGCGGCTCTGCATCCTCCTAAGCCTCCTATCTGAGGTCAGGCTGGCCTTTCTCCTGACATTTCTCTGTGTCCCCTGCGCCTCAACTGTATCTCTTGAAACCCCATCTGGCGATTTATGTTCCTGTCGGGCACTAAATGCGCATTCTTTGTCTCCCCCGTGACATCCTTGGCCACACTTCTCCCTGGCTTTTTCTGCTCCTGCAACACTTCATAGGTAATCCCAACAAGGAGAGTTGGATGTAATCACTGGCAATTTTTATAAAATTAAGTGTAGCTTGCCCCTGCTCTACTCTAGGTATGCTCCAACTGCGTAATTGTTGGTGATCTTTAGTGAAGATGTCTTTCAATCTTGGGAGGCTGGCTACAACTAATGTTAGCTTCCTCTCTTACCTATCTTTGTAAGCTGTAGTAGCAGACGTCTGACAACAGCAGTGAAGTAGGCTGAAGCCTTTTGAGAGATGCAGCGAGTTTCTTAATTGTACTAAGCAAGTAGCAGCGGCTCCATTGTGAGTGAGGCTATAACAAGACTCAATGTGAGTCCTTGACCGTATCCTCAAATTTTGTGGCTGCATCCTCTTTGGAGCTTTCATTAATTATTATTGCTATGTTTCATGAAACTCCTCAGCATCGTACCTTTATCTGGGACCCAGTTATAAAGTGAATTTTATTTTTGTTTTACGAGACAGGGTTTCTCTGTATTGTTTCGGAGGCTGTATTGTTTTGGAGGCTGTCGGTCCAGTCCGGCCTCGAACTCACAGAGATCCGCCTGCCTCTGCCTCCCGAGTGCTGGGATTAAAGGCGTGCGCCACCACCGCCCGGCTCTAAAGTGAATTTTATTAACCAGGGTTGGTAATGCAAGCTTGGAATTCTATCTACCTGGGAGCCCGTGGAAGAAGGATTGAAAGTTTGAGGCCAGTCTAGACTAAATACTAAAATCCTGTCTCTTTTAAAAGACAATGAAAATGGACAGATATATCCTACACTTTTACTAATTGCATTTCCTTTTGATTCCATGAAAGGATTCAGTGGAGAGAAGTCCTGTGTAGGAGAATTGTGGGAAAGCCTTCACTCCAGCTCTATTTGATCATGTAAAATGACTCACACTAGAGATAAACGCTATGTATACATCTGTATAGGTGTACATGTATATATGGGGATGCTTTCATCCAGTTTGGTCACCCTAAAATGTTGAGAAGGATTCACACTCGAGAATTTTCCTGAAAACTGTAACCCTCAAGATTCTGTGCTCTTAAAAGAGAGAGTTCACTGTTTGATAATACATGTTCTTTCTTTTTTTTTCTTTCTTTTATTATTATTATTATTATTATTTTTTGGTTTTATGAGACAGGGTTTCTCTGTTTTGGAGGCTGTTGGTCCAGCCCGGCCTCGAACTCACAGAGATCCGCCTGCATCTGCCTCCCGAGTGCTGGGATTAAAGGCGTGCGCCACCACTGCCCGACTACATGTTATTTCTTTCAGTTGCCAATACAGTGTCTAAAAAAATATACAATTACAAGCTTAATTATATCAAGACCACACATTGCCAAAACCTTAAATTTCATTTTGAGAGTCATTCTCATCGTGTGTCACTTTTCTTGATTATGTTGTTATAGCTTTATTTCTACTTTACCACTCATATAGAAGGATGCTGTATAAAGGTGTGACTTGCCTCTTACAAGAGGTCATCAGGACCAAACCTGTTTTTTTTTTCAAATCAGATGCAGTGGTTTTACTAATAATTCTATCCATACAACATTAAAAATACTCACTTTGCAGAGGCTGTTGCTATAACAAATTAAATCAGATTTAGGATACTTAAGACAGACTCAAACATGACTGTTCAGGTAGTATTTGAACATTGCAGGAGGAAAACTTTCCTTAGTTGAGACCACAGACAGTACCTAGTGTAGAAGACTGAACTTAATTGCCAGCTGGCTTGTCAGTGAATTGGGAGTTACAGGCTGTTAAAACTGACTTTAACAAATCAAGACGAATCAAACTGGCTCTCGGAACTAGGACTGCATTCTGGCCGCCGTGGACCACCTGTGCTTTGAGGCAGTCTCACTAAAGAGCGATGTTATGCTGACACCCAAGCCATGGCCTGGCTCACAGCGTCTATAAAGGCAAGACAAGGCAGACAAGACGACAAGGTGCCCGCCCACGTGGCAAGTGATGGGGAAACCTCTGAGTCACAGAATTACGGAAAGATTCTGGGGTTATTCTGGTAGCTTCTGTCCCCGGGTATAAGGAGAGTTATTTGGGGGCTTGAGATATTCTTACTACTCTTCAAATCATGTTATGTCTAGTCTTGAGAATAATCTGATATAGGTCAAGATAAATTTTAATTGCTCATAGGAAACCAATGGATAAATAAAACAAAGGCAGATGGTTTACATACATTTTTCTTTCAATGGAATTTCCCTTATATGAGCACTTAGGTCAACAGAGCACATGACTAAAAAAATCTATTTCCCCATCACAGTTAGCCCACTCTTCCCTTGTAGGCAAAGGCTAACGCTGCATTTTAGAGTTGACGCTCAATGATAGATACAATTACTACTACTTCTGGCTAGAGTGATTGTTAATGTCTTTTGTTTGGAATTTGATAAAACTCCAAATACTTGTGTGAGAGCCTTTTCCTTCTAGAAGCCAATTTTATTGTAAAATAAGGTTTGTTTTGTTCTATTTTCGATATGGTTAGGACTTTTTATCTTTTTCTTTCTTGTTGAAACAAAGATGCTAATTGGCTCCAGGGGTTTTTGGATTGTGGACATATTTGGAGGTTTAAAAAAATAAAGTGATGGGTGACAGAGCATGGCTTCTAAGTGAACACAGTGTGTGGCACAGTTCTATCTCAGAGACAGGAAACCCGTGGCAGATGTCAGTGAGTGTTAGCATCTGCTCAGGAGGGCCTGGCAATGCTGTCCTGTCTCTTTAGTAAGTGCCTTGTCCTGTGCAATGAAGTGGAACAAAGAACAAACAAACAAACAAACAAAGAGAAACCACGGGGGCTGGAGAGACGGTCAGAGGTTAAGCTCGCCGGCTGCTCCTCCACAGGACCCAGGGTCCATTCCCAGCACCCACACGGCAGCTCACACCTGTCTGTAACTCCAGTTCCCTCACGCAGACACACATGCAGGCAGAAACGTCAATGCACGTAACATGCATTTTTCCCGCCAGCTGCCTGGGTCCCGTTGCCATGTCAGCCCCCAAATAACACACGAGACACTATATTAATTATGTTTGCTTGGTTTCTTATTGGCTATCTCTGACTTAATTATTGACCCATAATTACTAATATATATTCTTATCTTTCCGAGGACTCTCTTCTGACTCGTCCTTTCCTCCTGAGAGATCACATGGCAACAACTCTCTTCACTACATTTCCCAGAATCTTCTTAGACTCCTAGTCCCACCTATCTTGCTTCCCTATTGGCCAACAGTGCTTTATTTATACCAGTCAGACAAACATACGCACAGAAGGACTTCCCCCATCACAGGCATATGAAATACAATTAAATAAGTTTTAAAAGGAGATGGCTTGTAATATAGGTAATAAGCTGAGAATTTCCTAAGGCAGAGCGTGGCCTTTGCACAGTCTGCAGGGAGCAGGTGAGGTTGATGATGACGGTGGATGTGCCTTGGAATCTTCAGTCTTTCTCTGGATGTCAGTATATTTCATGGTCCTGTGATATTAATCTCTTGATGAGTTTAATGTTACGTTTGTGCCAGTTATCCTACTTTTTCCTTTTTGCTAGGAAAAAAAACCCTGCAAGCTTTCTGTATCTTAGTTCAGATTGGAAATATGGGTCCGTGGGGGGCATGGGAGGATGGGAGGGAGAGGGAAGTGGGATTGATATGTAAACTAAGATTGTTTCTAATTTAAATAAAATGTATATGAAAAAGTGTAATTGAAAAAATGAAAATGGGAAGTATAATTGAAGTGACAGCTAGATCAGCAGGCGGGTCCTTCCAAGAAGGGACTGGGAAGTTTGAGGCACAAAAGGAGGCTGGATGTCATTGCCGCTGCTGTCCTCAGTCCTAACTGACTGCGCAGGGTTTTAGGAAGCAAATTCAGTGGGCGCTGTCCTGAGTACTAACTGACTGCGCAGGGTTTCAGGAAGCAAATTCGGTGAGGGAGAAAAATCTGATGGGAATTCAGAGTTGACTCACCAAGCCTATTGTAAAATGGAAGCGTTTGTATACATTGTGTTTGATAAGGATCAGATGGTTTTACAAAATCATATACTTTTGTCCTAATCCGGCCCATTCATTCCGATTTATATCAGATTTGTTGATCTTTGGGCCTCCATTTAAAGGGAGCTGAAGGAGACTCCCATTTGAAAGTGTTTTCTCTCTTAGGTAGCTGATGAACTGTGGCTGGATCATAAAAGCAAGAAGTCACTACTTCTTTTCTTCCTTCAGATTCCTTTAATTATTTGAGGCTCTGTTTCTGCAAATAGCTAAGGACTAATTTAAAAAAACAAATGGTGACTCATTCATGTCCTCAGCCAGGGCCACTGTCAGCCTCGGGGCTCAGAATGGCAGCAGCACGAGGTTAATTCTGGAAGCACAAGCTGCCGGAGAACGGCATCAGTGCACATTGCTTCTAGATGTGGAGCTCCCTCTGGTTGCAGACACACAAGAGGGCCAGGCTTTACATCTGATAAGGTTAGGTGCTTTGTGCAGACTTTAGGATGGCGTAGGCCGAGTGAATTAGGAGGCAATGATCTCCATTTTGGGAGAGCCCTAATGTAAACAGTCGTCCATATACGCTGGTTGGCATGGCCGGTAACCCCCTAGAGAAAGAGAGAAATAGGCAAACACATGCAGTATCCAGCCAGCTTTCCAGCAATAGCGGCAGAGTGTGATAATTAAGGTAATTAAGACTATGGACTCTGAGTTTAAATTCCAGCTTTACCACCCGCTGGCTGTGTAACCTTGAGAAGTTCTCTCTCTCTCTCTGAATTTGTTTCCTCTAATGTGGCATTCCTGTTCCAAGGAGACAGACCCTGCCCCCCGATACTCTCCGCCACCCTAGGGGCTTCGTACCCCTATCTTTTTTCTTTTAACCGGTCATGTCTGCTCCTGTGGCCACGCCCAGTGCCCGACAGGTGTGGAGGCGAATCTATCACTACAGATGGCAGTTGCGTTGTTTCTTGCATCATCTAGGGGGGATTAAGAGAGGGCTGGTCTGGAGGACTCACCCAGTGCAGGGCACACGCTCAGATGTCGTTGATAAGAGTATCGCTGTAGCCTTTGGCTGTGGCGAGCTGGGTTAGCAGGTGCAGTACAGCAGAAATGTCAGTAACAGCCCGCTGCCTGGACCGTGGCGCCCTGCTCTCCTGGCTCCCAAGAAGTAGGCCCTGACTGTTGTTGGGAGATTTCTTATAGCCTTCCTTCCCTTCTCATGTCTGGCCATACGTAGCAGATGAATACAGGGGCGGGGCAGGGGAGGGAGAGAAAGGCCATAGATCTTTTGCTGTTTTAGTTTTCCTTTCACGAGGTTATGTTAGGACAGATAAACCATTCACCATCCTGAAAAACACAGAAGCATTTGTAGTAACAAATATCAGGAGATCTTTTAATTTCTCCTCTATTTTTATAACCCATGATTGATGTCAACTACTTTTGAATATGTATATATACACACACACACACACACATATGTCTCTGTTTATGTCTATGTCTATGTAGTCCTCAAAGAGCCACATGAGATGAGTAATATCCTTCTGCCCATCTTATAGATATGAAAACTGAGGTCCAGAGTCCGAGACCAGTTTATTAATAAGTGACCTGAGCCCAGTTTAGCTCTAGAATCCAAGATCTTTCTTCCCCCTCTGTGAAAAAATGATCGCTAAAATCAGCACCATAAAACAGGCAGTGGTGGCGCACGCCTTTAATCCCAGCACTCGGAAGGCAGAGGCAGGCGGATCTCTGTGAGTTCGAGACCAGCCTGGTCTGCAGTGCAAGTCCCAGGACAACCAGGGTTCTTACACAAAGAAACCCTGTCTCAACTCCGCCTGGCCCCCAGAAGTCAACACCAGGGTCAGCAAAGTCCGTGACTGAAGCTGAAGCCCTTAGTGTGTTTGTGTAGACATTTGTATGATACATGTATAGACTGTGTGTGTATGTGGATATTTGTGTCCTGCATCATCCCATTCTGAAACGTTAGCCTCTTCTGTGTTTTCTACTGTTTACATCAGCCAGTAAAGTGCTTTTGCGTGTGGGTTTTTTCCGTCAGCATCCCTGAAAGCTAGGAGATTCCTCTTTGCTGACATCAGGGAAAGCCCTGGGGTAGACGCCACGGTTCTGTACTCTGTACACAGCCTTGGAGTTGAGCCCACTGACCCACTGTTTACACGTGAGGTGTGTGTCATCCTCGCAGACTTACTTACAAATGAGTTCTTGTGATCTTCTGAGATCTCCAGATCTCCAGATCTCGGTGGTGATTCTCAAAGGGAAACGGTGATGTCCAGCCTGCTGAGATTCTCACCTTCCTTACAGTTTACTGACGTTCTAGATTCTCGGTGGCTGTATTGTCTAAGTCTTAAAATCCCATAAAGAACAAATAAATACATTTTTAAATCAAAAAGAAGTAAAGGCAGAGGGGTGGTTTTCATAATGGGTACTCCTTGTTGTGTAAATGGTTGGCTGATCTTTCATCAGTGATGTCCAAGGAACATTTTGCTCAGGTGCGGATGCTTATCTGGTGATGTACAAAATGAAAGCTCCTAGCTACACACAGCCAATGAATATTTAAAATGAGCTAGTAGAATCGAGGAACGAAAGTTTTTAATATTTAACTCTGGCTAATATAGCAATGAATAAATAGAAATTTTAATTTAGTGATTCCTGGCTACTGTAACTTTGGCTAGAGCTATCATTTCAGACAACTTAATATATTAATCTCAGACTATTATGAGTTTAAATAGAATAATTAGCAAGAGGAAAAAAATCAATAGCCTGGTGCATGTCCTTTTGTTATTATTGAGATTAGGTTTAATAACAAAGGCAAGGTCTTTGTTACTATCAAGTAGCCGAAGGTGGCTTTGAACTCATTGTCTTCCTGCCTTCGCCTCCCGAGTGACGGGATTGCAGGCTGGAGTACCATGCCTGACTATCAGCTCTATTTAATGTGATCTAAAAAGGCAGTCTTTAATGCACCTCTTGCAGGGTGATGTCTGAACTTCTTAGTGCAAATTAGAAGATACAGACTTGCCCATCTTGGTTTCCAGCTCTTAGCAGCAACTTCGCCTTAATCTAAAAACCTACACCCTAAAGTCAGATAAGACGATTTGCAACCTCCTATGTTCATTTTGTTTCTCTACTTAATAACCTTTCTTCTTGGTTATAAAGATCCAGTTGAGGGGGACAGAGAGGTGGCCCAGCCGTCAAAAGCATTTAATGCAGTTTTGGTTTCTAGAACCCACAAGGTGGTTTACAACCGTAACTCTAGGATCTGGTGTTCTCTCTCTCTCTCTCTCTCTCTCTCTCTCTCTCTCTCTCTCTCTCTCTCTCTCTCTCTCTCTCTCTCTCTCTCTCTCTCTCTCTCTTTTTCTTTTTTTGGTTTTTCCAGACAGGGTTTCTCTGTATTGTTTTGGAGGCTGTCCTGGAACTCACTCTGTAGACCAGGCTGGTCTCGAACTCACAGAGATCCGCCTCCTCTGCCTCCCAAGTGCTGGGATTAAAGGCGCTCTGGTGTTCTATTTGTCTTCCTTTGGAAGTGTGTACACACGGCGCACATATGTCATGCAGGCAAACACTCTTACCCATAAAATGAGCCAATCTGAAACTAAAAAGATCCACCTGCAGATCTCCCATGTTTCCTTATGACAGAGACAGCCTCTTTGTACACTCAGTAACATTTACAGACACCTCTCCTCCTGCATGTGCTATGGCGACATATAAGTCTTTACATGGTTTTTATACTAGACCGAGAACTTTCTGAGGGTGAGCATGTATTTTGCACATGTTATTCTCAACAGTTCTCAATATGTGCTTGATGAGTAAATAGCACATTTCAAATGCATCAACTAATATTGTATTTGACTTATGTTTGAATAGTGAGAGAACCTTGCTGATCCTGTGGACGTCTTCTTAAAGAGGAAAATGGAAGCCCTCAAAATTCAATGGCTTCCTCAAAATGATTGGCATAGAGATGGTTTTCTCTATATATACTAGGCAAATAAAATATGCAACTTATAGACACAGTGAACTTGTTTTTCTCTTTTTGGCATTGACATGAGCTAAATTTCCTTGATCGGTGAGATACAGACCAGTATAAAGGGTTCTTAGTTCTTTTTCTGCTGGTCCTTTCCCTTGTGGGTAATGACATGGCTCTTTCCCGTCTCCCTGTCGGGGTAGTGTTATATGACGTTAATCAGAGAGATAGTGCAGTAATTAGGAATGCAGTCTCATCAGTACAGGCTGATAGTACGTTCCGAGTCTCTTTTCATCAGATCCAGGATGTGGTTTCTTGAATTTCATGGTGTCTGGCAGCATAGAGGACATGAGCCAAAGCAGTTGGATCAGGCACCATCTAGATAAGACTAATTGGATCCTTGTAGGCAGAAGGAGACATTTGAAGCAGCCAGTCACATTGTGGGAGATGACTCCCTAGCCCTGGTCCGTTTTATGTTGCTAACAACACAACACCACACTCTAGGTGAGTTAGAAAGAAAGCGGCTGTACTTTTTGCTTGTAATTCTGGGCTAAGGTAAAAAAAAGGGGGGCCATATCTGGTGGTGGACTTCTTGCTGGCCAAGAGACAAAGTGTCATCTGGTAAGAGACAGACAGTACGTGAGACCTAGACTCAGAGGCAGACCCACTCCGGAGACAATCCACTTACCAACTCATGCATCAGCCCATTAATCAAATGAGGAGATCAGTCCATTCCCGAGGGCAGCTGCAATCACCCTGTACAGGCCGCACCTGTTGCTCGCTTACACCCGGAATTGAATGGCAAGACTAAGTTGTGAGGAGACAGACCGTAGTGCCCTGTCTGCCTCTGAGCACCGCACTTCATGGGATGTCTGGCCCACTCTACATTCCTAACCCTTGCTCAAAGCTGCTGTGGTTACGGCAGGCATGCTCTCCCACAAACAGGCAGTTCTTTTCCTCAGGTGCAAGGCTTGCCCATTTCCCTGTTTCTATGAGTCAGGCTCACGCTGCTAACTTCTCTATGAACTGATGATTCTGTCACACCCCTGAGCAGTGGCAGGGTTTTCTTGGGGGGGCATGATTCTTCATTGGGAGACAACTTTACTATTTCTGGTACTGTGATTATTACGTCTGTTTCCCAGCTGGTGTCAAAATACGTTTGTCCTGTGGGACAAGTTTTGAAAGAGCAGCCGATTCTCTTTACAGCCCATCCATCTCTCTAGGACACTTTATTATTTTTAACTACATATGTGTGTGGTTGTCGGTGTAATGATGTGTGTATATGAATGAGTTCAGGTGCCCACGGATGCCCAAAGAGGGTACTGGCTCCCGTGGAGCTGGATCTACAGGCAGCCGTGAGCTTCTCCACGTGGGGCCTGGGAACAGAACCGGGATTCTCTGCAGACACAGGACGGACTGTCAATCACCGAGACATCCCTCTAGTCCAGGCTTAGTTTTCTAACCTGTAAAGTTGAAAGCTAGGTAAAAAGTTAAAATCATCAATATATTTTACTCCTCAACTGATGAATGCTTAATGAAGGGTTTTCTTTGAAACCGTTGGTGGCCTTGCTTAATAAATGGCATCCAGTGCAAGTCGGAGACTCTCATTGTCTTTGCAAAAATGTTAAGAGCATTGTTTTTTTAGGCAGGTAGGGTGGCACGTTCCTGTAATTCCAGCATGTAGGAAGCTAAGGCAGGAAGTCCATGAGTTCAAGGCCAGCCTGAGCTACATAAGAGACACTGTCAATAAATAAGTAAAGTAAAAAGAAAAATACAGTCTTTGATCCTCCATGGCCAATCCCACATTCATGTATTCTGAAGTAAATCCTAGATATCACAGTTTCTCCAGAGATGTTCCTACAGGTAGCACTAAAAGTTTTTTGTCTCCTAATTCTCATGTCTTTATCTGTGTGGGTTGTTGTCTGAATGTATTCCTGTGCACCATGAGCATGTGCCCTCCCCCCCAGGAGGGTAGACAAGGACGTCAGAGCCCCTGGCACTGGAGTTACTGATGGTTTGAGCCACCATGTGAGGGCTGGGAATCAAACTGGAGGAGTCTGGAAGAAGATTTGGTGTTCTTGCCCCTGAGCCATTTCTCCAGCCCCCGAAGTCTTTGTTTTTTAAAGCATTAATATACCATTGCCACACTAAAATATTTCCTTATTATCAAATTCTCACTGGCCACATTTTAATATACCATTGCCACACTAAAACACTTCCTTATTATCAAATTCTCGCTGGCCACATTTTAATATACCATTGTCACCCTAAAACACTTCCTTAGTATCAAATTCTCACTGGCCACATTTCCATTCTGCTCCATCAAGGTCCCCCCACCCCCTCCCCATCCTCCTCTAATTCCACGTCCTAATGAAGGTACCTAGCAGCTGCTCATTGCTGATCTCTTAAATCCTGACTGAAATATCAAAACCACGGGTCCCTTCCTCCCCATCTCTGCACTCTTCCCTGTCACGTGCTTACGGAAACATGACAGTGGATTGTTTTCGTCTTGTAGAGTGTGCACTCGTGTCCCACAGACTACATTCCTGTGGCGGTGCGCACCTCTCTCTTCTCAATTCCCTCTCCCCCGGGAGGCTTTCAAACTTGAGTCTGACTGTTTGCTTTCATCAGTAGTATTTGGTTTTCATCAAGAAATCCACAACAGAACTGGAGTTTTAGGACAAAGCCCATCCTTTAGCATCCAAAGTGGGCTAGGCGTGATCACCCTTCCCAAACACCAGTTAAAGAGGGTGTTGTGTGAGTTGGAACGGATGGGAAGACTCGTATGTGCTGAGAACAGGGATGACTTCCTCCAGGGACTCCAAGTTCCTTTTGGCAGATGGGCATGAGCTTTAGGATTAAATAGCGGAAGGGCAGGGGTCAGGGGTCAGGGGGCAGGGGTCAGGGGCAAGGAGTCCGCATCACTAACAATGCTGGTCAATCATAATTAAGCTGGTGTGGTCCCAAGAGGGGACAGGCTGGTTCTACTACTTGGCATGGGGTCTAGGCTAAACTGTGGTTAATATACCCAATGAGACTCCGCTGAAGAAGACTAATATTCTCTTTGCAAGTGGGTACCAGTCGCAGATAGATGCTTGGGACAGGATGGGAGCTAATGTCCACCTCCCCAGTGCTGGGCATGCGCCTGCTGTCACACTCTCTGTGCTCTGTACAGGCACTAGTCCTGTTGTAACTGGAGGGTATTGTCTCCTTGGAGTCATCCATCCCCTCTGGCTTTTATAGCCTCTCCCCTTCCTCTTCTGCACAGGCCCCTGAGATCTGAGGGGAGGCGTCCAAACCTCAAGTGCAGTTGTGAAGCGTCTGTCACAATGAATGCCTGCTGGACCGGTGGCAAGGTCGGCAGGGGTTGCTACTTAGTTGACATTGGATGCCCGGATCCTTTTGTAAATGAGCAGTTTTAAAATGACTTCTGACGTGCGAGTCACATTAGGTTTTTCATTTCTGTGTTCAGAGTTTCCTTAAGGTAAATATTCAGTTAATAAAATACTTACACGTATGTACCATCCTTTAACGTTGTCTTTAAGTCTGCATATTTGCCTACTGATCATTAGGCGGGAATACAAAGAGATAGCTCAATAAAAGTATAAATGAAAAATGATTGGAATATTATTGTCCCAAGATCTTTCAGTGTAATAGCTGTATGCTTTTTACAATGAGTTCTTTGTGAAATAACCTCATGCACTGCTAAATACACAGCAAAAATTAATAAAACTTAATTACACTAGATATTGGTTACACTGTGAAAATGTGTCACTGTTTATTTTGGTTGGTTTAATAAAAAGCTGCATGGTCAATAGCCAGGCAGAAGAGGTCAGGCGGGAATTCCAGGCAGAGAGGAACCGGGGCTAAATCTAGGCGCATGAAAAGACACCAGTGAGACCCTGGGGAAGTTGGGCATATGAATGGAGGAGAGGTAAAAAGCCATGCGTTGAAGGTAGACTGATAAAACAGAGTGATTTAAGTTGTAAGGCCTGGTGGGACAAGCCTAAGCTAAGCTAGTTAGTACCAAGTCTTCATGTCATCATCGGGAGGCTGGTGGCCAGACAAAGTCTGACAAGAAAGTCCCACTACACCAGACCCACTGAAGATGTTGTCATTTCCTGGTTGTGAACCTCAGTAATGAACCTGTACAGTCTTCAGCTTCTTTACCAGGAGCAAACAATGCACTTTTCCCTGGTGCAGTGCTCTCTGGCCACTGCTTCCAGTGTACGCTGTTTTACTTTAGAAAGGAAGGCACTGTGGTCCTTCCAACAACCACGCACTTTGACTTGCTGTTCCAATAGTGCTCATTAGCTTTGGACGAACCGGTCGTACTCTCCCACTCAATTCCTGCTCAGAAATAGCATTTGTTGTCCTTTGACAACTGGCAGCCATTGGTGGTCACGGTGGCGATTGCTCCGACTCACACGGGGGTTTAACCCTGACCGTGGTCCCGGTATCATGCTGTTAATAATCCACTGAGAAAAATAGCTGCACAAATAAATTCTGAAACCAAGGAGTTAAAAAAAATCTGCTATTTGTGTCTCCAAGTGTAAATCTGAATGCATCTGTGTCCTCTGAGTAGTTCTATTGGAAGGTGTTTTAGGTATGGATAAAGAAATGAATGCAGGATATGCTTCTGAAAATCAAAACTTACATCCGTGTTCTGCCTAAAAGCCTTCCACTGCATAATGATGACAAGTATAAATTCTTCATCCAGGCAGTTAAGCTAGGACATAGTCTAACCATCACCTGTCTCTATACTACTTCTTGCTAAAATTCTGTGCTCCTCGTACTCCAATAAGCGAGTCTCCCATCTTCTGTAGCTGTTCACGTATCTGTTCAGCATACGTTTACTGAGCTGCTCCAGTGATACAGGCACTTTAACAGGCCTTGGGTAAGCAGGAAGGAAGAGTGTCCCCTGCCGTTAAAAGAGTTCAAGGTTCCGTTGAGGATGCAGGCAATGAAAAGGCACATTGTGACACATGCCGTGTGTGAGCAGGGTTTGCACACTGGTGAGAGCCTGGGACAAACGGACAGGAGAGCAGGCTGAGAATGTGGTAGACGCGTGACTGAAAAGGCAAGCCAAGCGGAGGGGAAACCACGTGGAGGTTGCAGATGCCAGAGGGCCAGACAGTTGTCACTGCGGGACAGGGGATGTGTCTCTAGGCAGCAGCTAAGGGTAGAGACGCTGGCAGGACCTGGATCAAAAGTCAGTAGTTCCTTTCCTCCATTTCCCCTTCTCCTGTTCAATTTAAGCCAATAATAATGATAAATCCTCATGTCAGAAAGAAACTAACAAAACACTTGTTGAGGCATCTACCATGAGTCGTGTATTCTTCTAGGTGCCTGGATTACTAAAATCTCTGCTGTCCATGTGCTTACGTTTTAGTAGGTGGGAGTACACAATCAATGATAAACAATAAACTGCAGAAAAAATACTTGAACTTATGGTGAAAATACAGTCGTCAGAGGGGGAAGTGCAGTGGAGGAGGCTGGAGTGATGGGGTCGAGGGTCTGAGAGGCAGGATGGAATCTTCCTAGAAGGGAAGAATGAGGAAAGACCTGAAAAGGGAGTTAGCCCAGCAGAGTCACGGTGAAAGGCAGGAAGGGGTCGAGGGAAGTGTGGCACTAGTTACTCGGTGATGAGGCTAGGGTTCAAATGGCATTTGCAGACTAAAGAGCAGGAGCCGTCTCAGTGTTCTGACCTGCCGACTGGCGTTAGGATGCTGCTCGTTTCCTGCCCGCGTGGTACTGGGGATTGATGCTGTAATAAAACACCACGACCAAGGCTACTTAAGGAAGAGTTTTATTTGGGCTTATGGTTCCAGAGAGAGATAGCAGTCAATAACAATGGGGAATTCAATGGGGGAGCAGCAGGCAGGAAGCGGAGATTATGTCTTTTTACAGAGTACACAAAGCAGGGGCGGGGTCAGGGAGACACTATAGTCTCCACGCTGCCCCAGTGACACACACCAGCGGGGGACCAGATGCCCAAGCTCATGCCTCTTCAGCGCCACCAACCCACTTCTGGTACCAATTCTGTCTCAGTTACTGTGGTAAAAGTAGCTGACCAAAAGCACCTTTCAGAAAAAAAAAGGGTTTATCTGGCTTATGGGTTGCAGGTTGTAGTCAGTCATCAGGGGAGGCCCAGGCAGAAAGCCAAGCAAGAACTTGGAGGCAGGACTGAAGCAGGTGTCATGGCGGAGTGCTGCTTGCTAATTTCCTCTGCCTGCTTTCTCACGAGCCCCAGGGCTCCCTCCAGGGGCAGCGCTGCCCATGATATTCTGGGTCCTCCTTCATCCGTCTAACCTGAGGGGAGCAGGTCCTCAGCTGAGCGTCTCTTCTCCGCAGGGGACTCTGGTCTGTGCCAAATAGACCAACCACAACACTGGCCAAGTGCCTTACCACCAAGGCACACACAGCCCAGGGTACTCAGTCTCTGCGCAGAACACAAGGACTGGAGCAGCCCTACCTGTCAGGACAGGCCGCAGAGCGACAGCCATCTGTCTGGACGCAGCAGAAATGATTCTGAGTCTTGTGAAGTATCCAGATTTTGTAGCAGAATACAAAGGCCTCGGTACATTTTCAGGATGTTATTTCATAGTTTCACACTTCAGGAATATCTCCTAACACTTACCTAGTAGATTATAAATAGTCTTTATAATTATGTAAAAGGGAAGTTCGAAGGGGTCATAAGCCTACAAGAACCCCAATTCAGTAATAAAGGACAGTTACTACTCAAGTTAAGCAAGAACATTGCATTTTGAATCTACCACAAATCTGTTCACCTACTAAGGGACGTAAAATAAGATTCCATACATGACCTAGTAAAAAATGACTAACATTTCAAGTAATACAAAACCTGAACAAAACAAATATTTCTAAGATCCGTATTTTGGCCGGGCGTTGGTGGCGAACGCCTTTAATCCCAGCACATGGGAGGCAGAGGCAGGCAGATCTCTGTGAGTTCGAGGCCAGCCTGGTCTACAAGAGCTAGTTCCAGGACAGCCTCCAAAGCCACAGAGAAACCCTGTCTCGAAAAACAAAAAACAAAACAAAACAAAAAAACAAAACAAACAAACAAACAAAAGATCCGTATTTTGGAAAAACCAAAGCCTTGTAGGGATACTTTTTTTGTTATGAGCATAGCAATCCTATCTTAAATTGGGTGAATATTTTTAAAGTAGATCACCTAGGCTACAGCCCATTTTTAAAGCTCTATGATATGTATATGTGTGTATATATATATATATATAGTCTATCTGTGTGGTACAAAAATAGTTTTTTAATTTATAAAGGTACACGACTAATGTACTTCTAAGAAAATTCACTTGCAGTAAGACCAAAACAAAACATAAAATCCAGCAGCAACAACAAAATCCCCCAACAGAAGGTCTGAGGCGGCCCACCCATGAAGAAGTCAGCTGCGGTGGGGACGAAGGTTCGGGCCCACTATGTGTCAAGTGCTGGTATTGCCTCCTCCAGGGAGGTGAGGCTGTGCAGCTGTGCATATGCCCGGGCGGGGGGCAGGGAGACACAGACCTCAGGATGCTGTATGACTGACAGAACATACCGCAGCCCCAGAAGGTGAGCCTCTGCAAACGGACCCGCATTTTTCCAGTCTGTGCATTGGAAACCACTAAGCTACTCTCTCACCTCACAATCTTCGGACTCAGCAGTGGGCATATTCTGGTTCCGGGTCTTGTTGTGACGCTGCTGGCTAGGGTTTGGAGCCAGTAAGAGGGTGGCACGTGGTTATTTACAGCGCTAGCATGAGGATTAAGGGAGAGTTGGCCGACCGTGGGCTGCTGGCTGGTGTTTCCCAGGCTAGAGCCGTAAGCACGCACACCCACCGACTGAGAACTGTCGCTGCATGGCAGCAGAGGGGGTGTCCAATAAAAATAACATCTGAAATTCAGGGAAGTGATTCCACTTTCTTCAGGACTGTTTCCTTCGGCTTGTTTTCTTCTTTGCTGTCTTGTTTTCTCTCTTCCCCATTATCTTGGCAAGTCTTTGCTAGACATTACTCGGTTGGGGAATTTTGAAAACATTCCCATACCTAAGGCCTCAGTTCTAGATATGCAACTCTGGGATGTTTAGTAGCGACTCGTGTAGTTGTCCTGAGTTAAGGTTGGAAACCTTGATAGTTTTCCATTGGACTAAGCTCATCTACACTCTGGTTCCAGCTCTAGTATTTACCATATTTATAAGTCTCCCGATGTTGGTTTTCAGTTTCCTTTATGATGAGCTTGGGTTAGCGCCTTATAAAAACTCGACTGTAAAACATCTAATTGTGATACGTATCTGATCTGGCTCGCCCAGCTCCAAAGCAGTGACAGTCACCTTGGATTACGGGTCTGGTAGCAGTAATCAGCAGTAACGACGATGTTAAACAAGACATAAGCGAACTTTCCCATTCCCTCCTTCCAGCTACAAAGCACGACAAAAACAATATCGACGTCTCCGCTAAGAAAGCCCAGGAGACATGCAGTGCGGCCGCTCTGCTCCCAGGCCTCTGAAACCCAGTGAGGCGGCTCCTGGGGCGCAAAGGGTGGGGAGGGCTCAGTGCACAGAAACAATGCAGACCCCGAGGCTGTGCTCACCCGCTCGCCTGCACTAAGTGGTGCGAGGGCGGAAGGCCTGGTAGAGGTGCACACAGACAAACACACACGCACACATGCATACACATGCACACACACACACGCACGCCCTAACCTTGCTGTCCCGCACTCACATGCATACACATGCACACACACACGCACACACACACTCACATACACACACATGCATACACATGCACACACACGCGCGCACACTCACATGCATAAACATGCACACATACGATCACGCACTCACATGCATACACATGCACACATACACACGATCACGCACTCACATGCATACACATGCACACACACGCGCGTACACACACTCGCACACACGTGCGCGTACACACACGCGTACACACACTCACATGCATACACATGCACACACACGCGCGCGCACACACACTCACATGCAGACACACATGCATACACATGCACACACACGCGCGCGCGTACACACACACGCGCACACACACTCACATGCATACACATACACACACATGCACACCCTAACCTTGCCGTCCCAAGCACTTGTCTAGAACGCCCTGCACGGGAAGGTGGGGCGATCCGGGTCACCCCCATCTGGCTCGCCCCGCCCCCAGGGACGGCTTCTCCCTGAGCCAGCGCGGGTGGCGGCCCCCTCCCTCCCTCCGGAGCCGGTTTCTTCTGGTCTGACTTCAGAGCCGTCTCCAAGCCCCGGAAACCCGGCTAATGCTCTCCTCTCTCTTCCACACCAGAGCGAAGGGCAGCCGAGGGCCGGACAGTCGAACCCTTGCCCAGCTCGCCGCTCGCCCTCGGGGAGCAGACCTGACCCCCCCGCCCCGCACACCTTCCGGTCGCCCCCTCATCCCTGACTGTGACCTGTGGCCGTCACCGCGTCCTCCCGGCCCCTCAGGTCACCCCCTCCCGGCCCCCCAGTCCCGGACCCGCCCGGGACAGCCGCGGCGAGCACCGTCCCCTCAGGAGCTCCCCGCCCCCACCCGCACCCCCAGACCCGCACCTGGGGCGCTCGCCCGCTCGCCCGGGCCGTCAGCGGGGACTGGGGGCGAGCGTGCTCCCGGCCCGGGCCCCCGGGCGAGCTCTTGCCGAGGGCGAGCGCGCTTGGGTCCCGGCGTCGGCAGCGGCGGCGGCGGGGCGGAGGCTCGCCCGTCCGTCCGTCCGTCCGTCCCGGGGCGGGGCGCCTCGTGCCTCCCGGGGGCTTCTCCTCCCCCGGCGGCGGCCGGGGCTGGGTCCCGGTGAGGCTCCAGGCGGCGGGGCAGCCGCTCGCTCAGTCCCCGGGGAGGAGGGGCCGCCTGACGCCGCCCGTGCCGGGGCGACTTCCCGGGGCTCCCCGGGGCCGGGGGTGGGGTGGGGGCGGGGGGCCGGGCAGCGCTTCCCTCTCGGCTCGCCCGCCCTCCCGCTCGCCCGCTGCCTCCAGTCACCCCACCCTCAGCCGTCCCCGCCACCTTACTCCAGCGCCCTCCCCCGCCGCTCGGCGCACACTCGGCGGCGGGGCCTCCGGCTCCGCGCTCCCGACAACCGAGCGCTCGCCCGCTCGCCCGCTCGCCCTCCCCTCGGCCCCTCCGGGAAGCGGCGGCAGCAGGAGAAACAAGAAGGAACAGTGCCCCGGCGGGCGAGCGGGCGAGCGGGCGAGCGGGCGAGCGGGCGAGCGGGCGAGCGCGCTCCCCAGCCCTCCCCCCCGCCCTCCCCTCCCCCTGCTTCCTTCCTTGGGGGAGGGGGGCCGTCGCCTGGGACTCAAGGCCATCGATTTGTATGTGTTTGTCCCGGCGCCCGAGGCCGCCCGCCGAGCTGCCCCCCTGCTCGCCCAGGGCGGTTCGGCTCCAGCCAACATGTCGGCTCCGCTCGGGCCCCGGGGCCGCCCGGCTCCCACCCCGGCGGCCTCTCAGCCGCCGCCTCCTCCGCCGCCGCCGCCGCCCGAGATGCCGGACCTCAGCCACCTCACGGAGGAGGAGAGGAGGATCATCCTGGCCGTCATGGATCGCCAGCGGAAGGAGGAGGAGAAGGAGCAGTCGGTGCTCAAGTAAGGACCGTGGGCTCCGTCTTCCCGCCCTCCGCCCCCCGCGCTCGCCCGCTCGCCCGCTCGCCCGCCCGGGTGGCTCGCCCCAGGTGTCAGCCCCGCGCCGGGCGGGGTGAGGGCGGCGAGCTCCGGGGAGGCGTCCTTGTCCCCCGACCCCCGCGGGCGGGCCCCGGGGCGAGGCCGAACCCGGCTCCCCGCCGCCCCGGTCCCCTCCCGCCGCCCCCGGAGCCGAGCGGAGCCGCTGACGGGGGCACCGGATCCAATATGGCCGAGCACAGGTGCAGCCGGCGGCCGGGGCCGGCGCCCAGGCCCGGTGCGAGCATCGCCGCCGCCGCCGCCGCCCCTCGTCCCGCGCCCGCCCAGCCCGGCTCGGCCCTCGGCTCCCCGGGGACCAGGCGGCCGCCCAGACCCGCGGCGGCGGCGGCGGCGGGCAGGGAGGAGGCGGCGGGCAGGGGCCTCGGCGCGGTCGGTGGCGTCTCGGGTGGGTGTGCGGCCGCCGCCATCTTCCGGCCCCTCCCCCTCGGCGGGTGCGAGCATCCCGGGGCGAGCGTCCCGCACCCCGCACAACCCAGGGCGAGCATCCCGGGGCGAGCACCCCGCAACCCCGGGGCGAGCATCCCGGGGCGAGCATCCCGGGGCGAGCATCCCGCACCCCGCAACCCCGGGGCGAGCAACCCGGGGCGAGCATCCCGGGGCGAGCATCCCGCACCCCGCAACCCCGGGGCGAGCATCCCGGGGCGAGCATCCCAGGGCGAGCACCCCGGGGCGAGCATCCCGCACCCGGTTTGCAACTCGTGAGTCTGGCGATCGACCCCGGGGAGGCTCGGCTTCCCGCCGCCGCCGCCGCCGCCCGGTCGCTCCCCGCCTGGCCGGAGAAGTTGTACTATGTTTGCTCGCCGCCCGCCCGGGGGAAGCCGGCGGGCGAGCGGGCGAGCGGCGGCCCGGGGTAGAGGCGGCGGCTTCAGCACCACGGAGCTGTCCACGGCGAGCCGCCCCGGCCCAGATTGGTTTTTCCCGTGGCGAAGGTGTGACGCTCTCCTCCGGGGATGGCAGTCGCTCCCGGCGAGCCCTCGCCCGCCCATGCTCATCCCAGCCGCCCGCTCTCCCCTTCCCCGAGTTACTCTCGGTGAGATCAGCCTGCGTGCGCCCGAGAGCCGCGGGTGCCAAGTGCGCTTTCCTCCCTCAGTCTCCATAGAAACTCAGGGTCAGACGCGCCGACTGCCTTCCTCTGTGAGAGGGAAGAAGCAGCGCGCGGGCCTGCCTCCAGCTGGTTTGGAAACAGGTTGTTGGACCCAGTGTCCTTCATTTCACACATGGAACACACGCTTCGTCCGCACGTGCATTTCCCCGTATCCAACTGGAGTGCATTTTCCATAGCCTATGTTTGCAAACTTGGGTCAGGTGGGCGTGTGTGTCAGGAAAACACGCAGCTTCTCACAAAATAATGCATAAGAGAGCGAATGCATCCCTGACGTAGTCACTGAAATTAAATTAGGAATTGCTTCTTCAAAACTAACTTTTAGGTGTGAGCACTTACTAGGTAGGGATTTGACTTATTGGCGGACATAGGCAAACGCTAAGTGATTTAATCATCAGCTTGAACTATGGAATACTGAAGATGGTTTTAAAAGCGTTTTGAGCATACTCAGAACTTAGCTCCGCTTTAATGCGCATGCCAACAGTGCTAAACTTTTGATCATGATAATTTTATATCCAGGTATATGAATCTATATTTCTTAATATAGTCGTTACAATTTAGTGTTGCCAAAATGATGCTCAGATAAAATACGACTTTATTTCCTTGATCCATATATTTAAATGGAAGTGGGTTTTTATTTATAGTAAATTAAGTCAGTGTTTATTGCCTAGTTAATTTTATATAGTTCTATATTTACTGTTTCAGTATATGGACATTTAATAGAATGCTTGATTGCTGAATTAAAAATTGCTCAACGAACAGTGTATTTTATTGGATAGACGTTATTAATAGGTTTTCAGGTCGACTATATATGTGTACATACTTTGTAAATACATATGCTTGTCCATTTATTTCACGTTATTTAGGTAGGCACACTCTCTAAACATATCCATATAATAAGTGAAATCACATCAGTGAAAAATATAGATTCAGACTGAAGTACTTATTTCATAGTTTTTTGTTTTGTTTCGAGACAGGGTTTCTCTGTATTGTTTTAGAGGCTGTCCTAGAACTTGCTCTGTAGATCAGGCTGGTCTCGAACTCACAGAGATCCGCCTGCCTCTGCCTCCTGAGTGCTGGGATTAAAGGCATGTGCCACCAACGCCTGGCTTTATTTCATAGTTTAAAATGTTCTTTAGAATACTTTTGAAATGAGACTAGACAACAAAACTGAGAATAAACTTTATAATAGAATTACTATAGTGAGAGGCAATCATTTAGAAGAACTGGGCCATTTATGAAAGAAAACATATGTTCCTGGTCTTAGGTGTCAAATAACAAATGTGCTATGTAGGGAAAATAATGCTGATAGTTGTGACTGCTCTTTCCCTTGAAGTTTTGGGCATCTGTCAGCTCATGGATAAACAGTCTTTTATTTCTTGGTAGTGTTATCATTTAACTGCATGCTAGCATCTTTTCTGAGAGAAGGTTATAGGCACAGAGAAATACACCAAAAGCCAAGTTTATGTCTGATGTTTTTAAACTATGACATCAATAAATTTGATGTGTGAAGCAGTTGAAAACTAGATAAAAATACTCTGTGGTCTCTGAGTTTCATTATCCATAAGGGCATGGCAAGATAATGTGCCGGACTCCAAGAAGAATGTATTAAAACTTGTAGTCCTGTCTTTGTTTGGAAACAGGAAAAGACTAAGCCCCATTAGTACTTAGTATGGATTGGCTAATGCTAAGATGCATACAGTTTATGAGTAAATGCATTCATTAAAAGCTCATGCCTGAAATGTTTTCAGTGTGAAGGGTGAGCCATCAAAACAGGTTGAGGCCACTACAGTAAACTCTCTTTTTAGGAGCCTGAGCAATTAAAAATGATTCGCACGTCATTGTTAGTGATTTCTTCAAGGCCCAGCTGTACATACACATACTGCGGAAGCCTTCTGTCTATCAAACTGTGCTGTCTCGCCTGTGAGCTGCTGTCGTTTTCAACGCGTTTTTCATCTCGCTAGCCCCCTGATTAGTGACTGAACCAAAACTAAACAAAAGCCCTGACATGAATTCCTTCAGCAGTTCCAGTGTCGAGTCTCAAGAGGAGTCACTATTTTGTTGTTTTGGTTTATAGCATCCTTAACACATAATGGGTACCTAGTAAGTAATGTTGAACTGGCTTAAAGTGCAGATGGGTTACATCATTCATTCTGGGGGGAAATAGTGACTGTTAGATTCCTGTTATCTTTGCTTTTATTTTTGTGTGATTTAAATTTTTTTTTAAAAAGCAGCTGTCAAGAAGGCAAAGCCAGTTGACATTCAGATAGAAAGGTTTCAGTCAGTGTCTTGATGTTTGTTAAGTGCCCAACATCGTCATTCATACAAAGTGGTTTGAACACAGAAATGAGTTTCTCCTCCCTTCCTTTCACCCTACTGTTTTTTTTCCTTCTTGACCTCCCCCTCCCTTCTTTTTTCACCCATTGAATAGTGTCTTTCTGTGTAGCCCAGGTTGGCCCTCTGCCTTCCCAATCCCCGGGGCTAGGCTCATAGGCATTGTGTTATCACGCCTAGCTGTTTATGATGTTTGGGAGACGTGTATTCCAATATGTCTTCATTTTCTGCTTTGATTGTTGTTAGGACAACTTGCAGCTGGGCGGTGGTGGCACACGCCTTTAACCCCAGCACTCGGGAGGCAGAGGCAGGCGGATCTCTGTGAGTTCGAGGCCAGGCTGGACCGATAGCCTCCAAAACAATACAGAGAAACCCTGTCTCGTAAAAACCAATAAATAAATAAATAAATAAATAATAAAAAAATTAAAAAAGGACAACTTGCTTCACGAATAAAGAGAATAAAGTAAATTCATGATAGATTAAATTAGCAAGTACATATTGTATACATGTATGAGTAGTTCTAAATGTTTTATGTATAAATGTAGTTTATTTATTTATGTTTGAGACAGGGTGTCCCTGTGTAGCCCTAGCTTGCTTGGAACTCGCTCTGTAGACCAGGCTGGCCTCAAACTCACAGAGATCTGCCTGCCTCTGCTACCCAAGTGTTGAGATTAAAGGTGTGTGCTACCATGCCTGGGTAAATTTTTTATTTTATTTTGGGACAGAGTCTTTCTGTATAGCCCTAGCTGTCCTGGAATTCAGTATGTAGACCAGGCTGTCCTCAAACTCATACAGATCCGCCTGCCTCTGCCTTTCAAGGGATGGGATCATAGTCATGCACCACCACACCCAGCTTAAACTTTTTAATGATGCAATTTTATAAGTAGTTTTTAAAGTTAACTTAAAAATTGTTTAATAGACAATATATATGTTGGCTACAAGGTAACTTATTTACCTATTTATTTACCCGTGTGCAGTTATTGTTATGAGCATATTTATTCTATGCACAATTAAATCTAGGCACAAGAGACGTATGTGTATATAAATTCATGTATTTATATGTGTGTGCACATACTTATATACATTTTTTATTTGTTTTTTGAGACAGGCTTTCTTGTGTAGCTCTGGCTGACCTGGAACTCACTACCAGGCTGGTCTTGAACTCACAGAGATTCTCCTGCCTCTGCCTCCTGAGTGCTGGGATTAAAGGCGTGCGCCTCTATCCCCCATAAGTGTATGTTTGTATGCAAACATAAAAGTACAAGTATGTCCTGCATTTTGCTTTTTAGAAAATAGTTTTCACATTCTGTTCAGTGCCAGTACCTGTCCCATTTGCTGAGTATTTTGTAGTTTCCTTAACTAATGCCACACTTTTAAAGTTGTTTCTCTTTTGCCACTAGACACAGTACTTTGAAACATTGTTTTTAATGTATAGGACTGTATCTCTGGGATAAGTTCCTAGAGATAAAAT